ATGATTTAACTATTAAACTATTTGACTGTTATAAAAATTCACACAGGGCATGAATGACTTACGTTAGCTCGGCCTACTTATAATTTTGGCAAACAAATTGGCCCAATATTTAGCATGTTATTAGCATAAATTTGCACGGCGAGGAGGAGTGAAGGTTTTCATCGGCATCGCGAATAATACAAGCCTGGTAACGAAACACGTCTGATGTGACGCGGACGGTCCGTTTTTCCGCGGAAGACGTTTTTGAAACGGGCCGACGAACGACGTTATAAAAAAGGGTTTTTTTTCTTCCATCGTATTCTCATGCGTTTTGTACAATTATAAATAACAATGATAAAATAATGTTACTTCTTCTTATGCAAGAACGAGAGAAAGATGATTTATTAATTTGTTTTAGCAATATCTAACTGAATATTATCTTTACGTTTGGCAACTTTATATTTGTTGTGAGACAGATCAAATAACTCATCATTTTTTTCGAACAAACTCTATCAATTGCTCTTCTTCCATAAAATTAAATTTAGCTATAGGTACTGATAAATGAACGGTTGCGCGCAGCAGTCGCAATACACCGCTCTCGAACCGGCAGTGTCATCGTTCTCGTCGATAAACTTAAGTTGGAAACCAGTCAACAGGAATTACATATTAACGACCAGCCGCGCATTCGAGCACGTTCGTTCAGACATTCTTTACGGTCCGGAAGTCTCGAAAAGCCTCGCGTCAGGCTTTCACCGGGGCATTTATTGTTAGTAATATCTCTGTAATAATAGCCAATAACAATAATGGTACCGTTGCGCGGCCCGGACGAGGAGCCGTCCGAGAGAAACGTCGTCTCGCGCGCCCGCGTGTTTATTATCATCGCGCTCTAATGGTTAAAGACAGAGACGAAAAAAAAAAATAAATAAAATCGTATTATCACGTAGAGCAATGTTTGCTGTTTTACGCATTATTATTATTATTATTGTTTCTCTCCGGCCCGACGAAGCATTTTTTTCCGCTCCTCACCTGCTCGTCGACACTCGGGTAATACGTCGGTATAATTACATTATCTCGCGCTTTCTCCGTCTCTCTCTCCCGACGTCATCTTATTTCCCATTCCACTATTCTCATCTCCTAGTCATACCGTTTGTCATGTTATTATCACTATACATTACTCGGTTGGAAGCCTAACGATGATTTACGACACGGACTCGCCACCGCAGTACCGCCCGACCACCGCCAGTACATTGTTGTATTCTTTGCGTTCAAAGGTTACACATAGAGCCGTCGACGATAACGATTATTATTGTTACAGCGCTCCAGGTTGCGCGGTCGTTATACGGTTATTACGGTTATTACCATTTTTGTCGTTGTTATAAAACTGTATTGTGTAGACCGAAGACAGTTGTCGCCGAACCGTGCATAGTGACGACCAACTTCTGTATTATACACGGGCCCGTCGTCGATTTATAATAATAAATTAAAGGGATCGACTTCCAAAACGTTTTTTACGGGAAGGCATATCATTATTTTTAGAAACAAACGATTTTTGATGTACGCATAAAAAAATAACATTAAAAAACAAACTTCCATCCGATTTATCTCTGCATAATCCCATGTTAAGGATCCTTGACCCGATCAAATCCGTATTATTTTTCTATGCAACCGTGATGAGCGATAACCGAAGGTCAAACGTTTCGCCGCCCTTATCGGTGCTTCGCCGTCAAATGATTACTCATCGCGTTCGATTTAAGGTATTAATTTCGTCCGCACCGTCGTTAACCGACGCACTGCTGCGATTTTGGATACGATTTTCGAATCCTCATCACCGTAAATCGCAGTACGTTGATTCGTTTTCGTATTCCACTTTGTTATTATTACAATTATCATCGTGATCGCTGTATTATTCGTTTCTACACGTACGTTTGCCGGTTTTCGTAGGAACCGTGTTCGCGTTTTTCGACGTGTGCATGTTCACTGAAATCACACGGTACCGTCAGTACACGCGAAACGATCCGAGCCTCACGGATGTGTTGATGTCATCGAAGCTTTTCACGCATTTAACCAGCCGTGTCCTAGTACGTGTCGATTTCGCGATGATTGTGCGGTCTCCGAAACGCGCGCACGCAAGCAGCAGGAAAACGTCCACGGACAGCGCGAGATAATATATCAAAATCTAATACTATATAATATAAATATACATATGCATTAATAATTATTGATTCCGCCGCACTGCGTACAACGCGTTATAACGTAGTATCACAACGACTTAAGCACACCGATAAATCATGGTCGGACAGTCTCTTACCTACGGAGCCCATTCCCGCCAGCGTCTCGGAACGTTTTCAATTCGAACAATCTTCGGTCTGTTTCATTAGCTTTCCGTTAATATTCTTCATCCTTTATAAATCCTAACACCACTCCCCAACGAACGTTGGCCGCGAATGAAACCGTAAGATCTTATGAACGTCATACAAAAACGTGTTAGGTCAAAGATTCGTTTTTGCGTTCGAAAATCCTTTTCCCGAGTTATGTCGGCACAGTTTACGAACGCGTAGTTCTCGTCGTTGATTCCCACGACGTGTCCGTAGACTTCTTAAAGCTCTTGGAGCTCCGCATGGATTTCTCGGTAATTCAGAACGGAATGTTTTGTTTAACGCGATAACAACGTCCTTTGTCGATCACCTACCATTGCGTTCGTTACGTGAGATCTGATCGATTCCGGCGCAAACCATTTGTCCTCGACACATTTTTTTTTAACAAAACAATCGGTGGTCTGTGGACGCTGATCGTAGTTGTGGCCGTTGCTGTTTTCTAATACGTCACGCGTTTTGACCGAAACGTATTGTATAACCAATAGAATACGTGCACTGGATTCGATTCAAACGCTGAAATCGGTCCGCCGGAGTCGGGTTCAATGTCGTCGCAGAGGATCGGTCGTATTATCCTCGGACTTTTCAAACGGTCAAAAGCACCCACTTCTCTCCTACCAGCCCCGGGGGATATCGGTATCGGTCTCGGCCGTAGGTTCTACGAACGGTCGATCAACGTCCCCGCGTTGGCCCGTAATACCGCGTTACGCGTGTCTTAATGACCATTGTACACATTCGACTGCTGCGGTCCGGATATTTCAGGACGGGCTCTTAATCCGCGTGTGCGATAAATTGCATAAAGTAAGTCCGTACGTTCTATAGGATTTGCGCCTGAATCGACCCGATCCTCGCCCAGACCCCGGCGCCCACGAATGCTTTGAAAAATCCTAATTTTTAAGACCACCTGACACTAATCCAACCGAACGGTGACGCAACGTCCGAACCGACCCCGATAAAAATTTACTATAAGGGTGATCTACATCCGTAGGAAACGATCGCAACAAACGATGCAAACGTTTAAGGCCAGTCATTTTTTCCCTTCCTCGCACACCGTATACGTAGCTTGTTTTCATTTCTTTTGTTTAGTTTTTATTGTTTTAAACACGAGTTTCCGCGTACGTTACTGTAATTTTCTCGGACAAACTCAGATGCTCGTGAATGTGATTTGGTTACAAATGATTTTTTTTCAAACGTTATCGCTATTATCGGTTTACACTTTTACTTCTCCGCACTGCGGATCACAAATTAAATTCCGAACTGACAGAGTACGTAATTTCCTATTTGTTAATCAGCACCGCTCATACACTTCGTTCCAAAAAATACATTGGATCTCTGTTTTATAAGTATATAATGCTTCGCTACAAAGCAATACCCGGAGGCATCGTGCACTAGATTTTTAATTAATATTTATTTTCAAAGTTCTTTAATGCGACGTATGTATTTACGTGTCACGTTACCAAAAGCTGTTCCGTGTTGTCTATTCAGAATCCACTTTTCTTCAAACTTGTAGTAAACTTCGTAATCCTTGGAATTCATGTAAGTACCATACCAATTTTGTTAGATTTTTTCCAAAAAAATTTTAATTACCTTTTATTTTTTTATTTTTTCATTAGTTGCTCTCGCAAAATTGCTACCGGTGTAGGAAAACACACATCTCATAAAATATAAACATAAAAGTTTAACCAGGTACGATGCGTACACACTATAAGTTTATGCATTCATCCTAAATAAACTTAGGTACCCAAGCTTCATAATGGCGCGTTATAAAATGTTATTATTATAATACATTTTTTTTAATAATATTCTTGAGTTCACATCAGCGTGCAAACCATCTCAAATAAGGGTACGTAATAAAAGCAGTAAACCATCGCACCATTGATGTCTCTAAATTATGAGATGATAGATTTTTTAAATATTTTCAGAACCAAGAAAATAGTAATCATCTTAAAAAAAAAAAAAAAAAATAAAAATACTGCTGAAACTGTATGGATTTATCTTCTTCGTGTTATATAAGTCGAGTAACAGGTGATGAATATAATCCATACTTGATATCAAAGAAATTGTAACATTTGTATTATCAGCAAAAAATAGCTCTTATATAATCGAAAACTAATATCAGATTTGTATAATAAATATTATATAAAACTTATTTATTTTTCTACGTTTTATTAGTTTGATGTTCTTCAGCGAATCGATCTTAAGAAACGTTGTTAGAATAACCCATCATATTCTTAATTTTCTCGTTTTCTCTTTTACATATCATTGAATAACTATTATTAACACAACAAAATAGACATTTTCAGAAAATTTCTAATTTATTTTATTTTTATCATATATTTTGTGAGTGTTTTGTTCTTAATTTTTATAAATTAATCTGATCGTTTCGTTCAATACAATATTAGTTTGTATACAATTATTCTACAAAGTTAATGAACCAATGTGTAAATTTTTTTTGAAGTTTCAGTTATTCGTATTTCAAAAGCACCTATCAAAAGAATAGTCCCATAAATTATGCGTATTACATCATAAATTTCTTTATTATATTTCCATCGCACATAGTTCATTTTTTTACTTTATGGTGATGTAATATATATTTTTCTTTTTAATCTTAATGGTCTATTCAAGATCAGCGTTTCCATCAAAATCTTTCTAACCTGTATTATCCAACACATTTGGGTAAACAATATTCTTTGATTGTCCATTTGGGGCATACACAAATAAACAATTTGGAATGCCAACTCTTGAACAGGCCACGTATAATTGTCCGTGAGAAAAACATGGCTCCACCAAATTCAAACCGCATACTTGGAGCCTTCGTCTTTGTGCCTTATTGATGGACATGGCGAATGATAGGCGCACGGGGAATTGCAATCGTTTGAATTCAAATTGCATGTCTATTGGATCAGAGAAATACGTGGAATGAGTACAACTTCCCCCTTCACTTTGCCAATCAATATTGTGGCTTCAATTAAATTTGGCATCAATTATTTTATAGCTAATCTTGTGCCGTTGCACAGTTTTGGTGCATTCAAATTCCGTAGTAAAAAAATTGATGAGCCGTCCTTCAAATTCAAGCAATGCGGCGGCATACCGGGCGATTTCAACGAATTCAAAAATTGAACTGGATAGTTGACTTCATCATCTTCATTCAACGCACTATCAACAGATTTGTATGATGTCACTGCACCAGACAATTTTTCTTGGATGAGAATTAATAGCATTGACATGCACATTTTTTGGTGCCAGAATTGCACGTTCTCTCAACCAATTGTGATTTCTGTGATTCTGGACAATATTCAGAAACACTCGTTCAGTCAATTCATCTTTTAATTGGAGAATTGTACAACAATTGTTTGGCAATCTAATTTCTAATTCAAACTTTGCTATTTCCGATTTCCAATAATTGCTTCGAAAACTAATCTGCAGATTGACCATTGTGCAACTGAACACGTATGTTTATGTTTAGCGTCAATTTTCGCACATATCCTAACTTAACCTAACCTAACTACTTATCGCACAGCGTACAAACATCACAGAAACCATCTAAATATCAATCTTAATATGCCTTGAAATTTTTATCAAAATCGGTTTGGTGGATCTTGAGTTATAAAATGTACTCAAAATTTACACTTATTTATATATATATAATTCGGATTACTTTTTAAATCTCTTCATCCTTTGGAAAATTTAAATTATAAAAATCTAAGTACTCTAAAATGTATTAAACTTAAAAGGAAAGAAACTTATTCGAGAAAAACCATATTATAACCTCGATTATAATGGTCATAATGTTACAATTAAAATTGTATTCTCAATTTCGTCACCCTCAATAGTTTAATTTTTTTTACAAATTAAGAGGACGCTAAAGCGAAACGTATACAATGGCTAAGAGAACACGCTGTTAAGTGTTTTTGCATTTCGCAAGCATAGAATGGCATAGAATTATTATTCTATGAACGTTCGTCAAAGAAATTTCGTGTCAATATAAAATTAATACTAGTAAGTGCAGTCGTAATATTACAAATATCCACAAGTGCCTACATATAAACAACTGATTATAATGTAAACCACTGCTTACTTAAATATATGTACCAATATATAGATTATAGTACATAGCTTGTTTTGTATTTACTGAATTATTACTTATTTATATATAACACATCAATACCTATAGGCATAGGCATGTTTACGACTCGTGCCTGTTTATCAATAAAAATATTTAGCATATTATATTCTGACGCAAATAGCCCAAATCTTTTGGGAGGACTGCAATTTACATATTTACTTACATATTTGTAGTTAGATAGATATTCGTAGACCATTAATTTTTATAAAAATTAAAATTATGACAATGTAATACTTACGACGTACGGTTTCAGCCCAGTAGATTTTTTTTATTACTGAATGTTTGAATTTATTATTTCAAATATTTATATTTCTGAACACATTTTTAATAAATATTCAACAAATATTTTGAAATAATCTAATATAATATTTATTAAATACAAGAAAATAATTAAAAACCATGCAAAAACCGTTTCCTCTTTTAATCCATCAAGTCGAAGTTAACTTGTAAGAACACAGCGACTGGCTCATTCTTAGATTGATTGTCCATCACATTAAAACCATTTTATTTATTTCATTTCCAATCGCCTACGAATGTACAGAAATTCTCACATAATGTATCATATAGGTAGGTAGGTTATTCGTCATTTTAACATAATTCGACTTGTTGAGCTCCGTGTTTGATTTATAGCTAATTGAATTGTTTAAATGAATCTGTTTCGTTAATTTTTTTTTTTTTTTTGCTCAATGGTATTGTTTATATTCAATTTGTGTATTCAAAGCAACAATGTAAAAATATATATGTATTATACAAAACACGATTGTTACACAATATACATTAGTAAAACAACTACTGTTAAATATAAATAAAAGTTGTTCAACAGTTAAAACGTATTGTAGCATATTTCCAATAACACGAATCCATTGGTATAAAATCTATAACGGCCAACTGATAATATTTACTAAAAATTATTATTTTAAGATATAAATATATAAATTACATACACTCCGACCGGATAATATGGTAAACAATTGCACTTGTGTATATTTCCTTTGTTGAGAACCCATACGGTTTATAGTTAACTTTTTTGTATTAATATTTATGCAGCACAATACAGTTCTAAATCTATTCCATTGTTCCATCATAATCCATTTAGTATAATGTAATATCTAATACGTATTATAATAACGCTCACAATAGTAAAGCTGATACGAAAATCAATACTTATCTTGTAACAGTTGTTACTGTTGCTTAGGTAAGTCATGTCTCGCTTAAAAATTATACCACAAACGTAAACCGCAGATAATATTCATGGATACCTTTAAGCAATATGTATACACAAAACAATTAGTAGTTAGTACTTATATTATACTATTATGACGAAATATAACCGAAATTTCTGATGTTCAGACTGCAATAATTATAAGTGGATATTCCAACAAAAAAAAAAAAAAAAATCCAATAAAAAAATGTCAAATTCTATTGAGTTTCCGATCGAATTACATATGTATAATGTTTTGCTAGTGTTTACTATTCTGCGTCACGAATAATATTGATAATATAATGATACTTAAAATTCACGAACGTATATTACTCTAACAGCTATATTTTTATAAAAAAAACTTATTGTTTATCACTAAGTGCATAGGATATACTATACACCAATAGTAACAAATTAATTGAATATGTACGTATACAGTATGGAGACATGTTGAGAATTTCGAAATCGATTTTAAGTTACAAGTTGAATATAAATGATAATATATTATACACTAAATTTAAACATTTCGAACGATGAGATTTATGCCTAAAAAATATTATATCGTATATTTTAGGCAGTATTCGATGATGATTTCTCAATCCTACATTTTTCAAACGTCAATTCGAACCTTTCGTTTACACGATGCTTCGGAGTGACGAATCAAATACAATTTTTTCATTCTTTTTCCGACTTAAAAAAATTATTTTACTTTAGTTATTGTAATAAATAAGTATAGTAAATAACCTTTTAAAGAACAGAAACTACTTCGCTTACTAAAAAAGTAAAACACTGGTAAAGTCACACGAATAACGTTTAAAGTTTCTGCACTTTTTAAATTTAAAGAACCTATAAACGTGATCATTTATACCGATTTATTTCAAAAGGCAGTACACTTAACGTTATGTACGTTACTCATGTACAGAAGCGTCTCTGGACCTCAATTTAAGGGGAGGGAGAGAAAAATAGTCTGTATTTATACACTTAATTTTTAGAAAAATAACATTAATTATTATAGTTAAATGACTGTAGGAGGAAAATATAAAAAGAAACACAATAATTATTACCAAATCAATTATTTTTGAAGTACCACATACCAATCAAAGTTTTTAAATCCAAGGGAAAGGAGATCTCTCCTTCGCCCCCTAAAATACGCCTTTGATTACTTAACGTACTATATATTACAATCACAAAACCGATGATTGAATTTTCAATAAATGTTGATGATTTATAACTTTCGTATACTTAACTCAAATTCTGTTGTAATCATTGACTGTTTAGAAATGTTATGTAAATGAAAAATTCAAGTTATTATACAAGTCCGTTAAGGGATGAGAATACGAATTTGATATAGAATTTTGCATTTGGGTATATGCTGTAAAAATACATCGAAACAAAATAAAAAAAAAACTGAGTAAAAGCTAACAAATTATTTCGAGGACCAATACACCGTTAATACGGTAGTCGTTCGGATTAACGTATTCAATTAACGGTCCAAATTATTTTTCACACTATCCACCTTCAGCGCAAACGTTTCGAGTATTTCGGAGCCCGGGAATGAAAGGGTTCGGGAACAGAGTATTGCGTGCGATTGCAACGGCCTGCAAATACGTGTGACCGTTGTTTCAATCACCAATATCTAAGGTCAAATAAAAAAGGAGGGGGCTATAAACCCGAGTTGCAATAAGTCGATTCGATTTTTTTTTTTTTTTATAAAAAAAAGCATTAAATAATAAATAAAATAATTTATTTAATTGGATATGGTGAAATAGTATACTAAAATAGCAAGAAATATAATTTTTCTACACTATCAGAAAAACGTTTTTTGTAATAGCAAATATTGTAAAAGATAGTCACTCATCGGACCACGCTAATGCCATTTTCCCTACAATTATACCCCAAACTTATGCAAAGGCAGCTTCTAATCAATCCTCATATCCTAATTCCTCTCCATCAGCATAGGATACTACACCATCTGCTGAATCAAATCCAACTAATCTAATGTCAAGTTTCTTAAACGATTTCAAAACTTTAATAAATCCGTTAATATTACTGCTTACGACAGTAATTTCTAGTCTATTAGACAAATCCAAATGAATGACTCAGCCACAAATAACTCACTCTTAATTTTGCAATTCAATGCAAATGGCCTCAAAAACCATTCCAACGAACTTCAAACTGTTCTGTATAACAGGCGAATAGATATAGTCATCATAACCGAAACTCATTTTACTAAATACTCCTATGTTTTTATCCCAGGATATAATCTAATAAAAATTATTCACCCCTACAACACCGCACATGGTGGAGTCGCCAATTTAATCAAAACATCCTTATATTATGAGCTTCTTCCTAACTACAGTTTTGATCATATCCAATCTTGCTCAATTTTAATCAAATTAATTAAAATCCCAATCACTATTGGTGCATTCTACTTCTCTCCTCACCACAATATAACTAAAGCAATACTTGACGACTATTTTAGTACCATTAAAACTAATTTCATTATCGGTGGCGATTGCAACGCCAAACATCAGAGTTGGGGCTGCCGCGTCAACAACCCTCGTAGTATTGTACTATATAACCTTGCAAATGAGAGGTATATCAATGTTCTCTCTTCCCCGGGTCCTACATATTGGCCAACCACGCCAAATAAGAACCCCAACATACTGGACATATTTTGCTGCCAAAATTCCAATCAACGTACATTGCATTACTGATAATATCCTCGATTTAAACTCAGACCATTATTCTATTTTACTCACCATTTCTGCCACTCTACTAACTCTAGCCGAACCTCCTAAACTATTCTCTATTCTAACAGATCATAAAAAATTTCATGACATAATAAATGAAAAAATTGATCCAAAAATTAAATTAATGACTATCCCAGATATTGATGAAGCAGT